TGTGCCTAGCTTCTCTTAAAAGGAATGCTCCTTAGCGAGAAAGGCATGTAATATTTTGACTGAGAAACGAAGATGAAATTGCGCCTCTGGCTTGATCCGCTTCAGTGCAAAAATGTCCAGAAACTCTGTTTTTTTTTTGACAATTTTGATTAATTTAAGTTTTCGCGTTTAGCATTTTCGCTCCAAACAACCAAAAATTTTCTTTCGGTGTTCTTGCTTGCACAAGAGAGAATCAAAAATGGCGAAAAAAAACAAGTTTTCTAAACCAAGGCTATAAAATATTGAAATAGCTCAAGATTTCCTTTGTCTGAGTCTCCTTTGACAGCCATAGTGACGCGCATTTTTTCTATGAAAAGGGCTTTTCCTTGGACCTCGCGAAAATCTTAATATGCGCAAGTCTTAGTTATAGTGTTTCAGTACATGTAGAGGTTTTAGACAGTAGTGAGGAATTGCTTGATAAACGGTCTGAGCCGTAAATGAAAACTCACGAGTCTGATAAAAACCTCATAGATAATTCCACTTGAGATATGAGAACTAATGATAAGAAACGGAAATGAGGAAGACACTTAAACTATAGCAGCTTAGCTGTCTACTGAAAAAAGTTATGTTTCGATGAAAAGAACATTTTTCTTGCTTGATTGTCAGCAAAGATGAGCAAATGATGCGATAACCGAACCAGAAACAGATTGTAACGTGCAATATTTAAGGAACAGGGGGTAATAAATGCTATCGTTTCCTAACTCAGACCTAACCACCACATTTGGCTTACAATGAATCGTTACCTAACTGTTTTGCTAATTTTCCTATGCGCTGTAACGCTTTCGAATAGCTCCACATGCTATAGGAACTGGAGTCGTTGCACACCACAAACCAGGGTAAGTATAATTTTTATGATAATTGCTTAATGTCATCATATATGTGTTATTTCAGTTTTTTACTGGTATATTTTGGAAAAGCTGTTCCGACTACTGCAGGCAATGTTTTGGAAGAGCTTACGGGAAATGCGAAAGGGTACACA